AGCACATTTAAAATTTAGAAATTAAAATGGGGGGGGGGGCTATTAGATGAAATCACTCACTCTAAGTCAAAATATACTCTAGCTTCTAGGAATAAAAAACAACCCATTATTTTATAACTGTTATAATAAATATGTAACGATAACCACATTTCTTTACATCTAGTCATGAGGGCATGTCAGGGAAGCATTGAAAATGTCGCTATTTGTTGGTGACAGTGGTCCGCTACTTCATACCTGGTGAACTAGGCCCAGCCTCTGTCAGAAAGAATAGAAGCGTTCAGCCCATATCATCATCATCATCATCACCACATTGCGTTTTAAACTTTAACGTATATTTTGTTTTAAATAAGGTAAATAAGATAGTTTTGTCTCAAATATTCAATTGCTTTTAACATTTTTATCAGAAGTTAATGCGTCTTGAGAAGAGTTTTACTGCATTTCAGTAACAAAGTTTCTTTAAAAGCAGTGTTACTAAAATTTTGTACCGCGATAGTTTTAATTCAAATGAGTCTCTACATATTTAATAATAGTTTAAAAAAAGTGGTAATAGCAAACGTCTCCATTACGCATCCACGTTACACATTTTACTTTGAAAAGAAGTTTTAAAAATAAAGAGCTTAGATCTACAGTATCTAAGTAATCCAGTCCCTTTGCAAACCATACCTGAAACCAGTTTCTAAGTACGAGTCTAACAATCCGAATGGCGGTGACTTTTCACAAAGTGCCTTAGTATAAGGGTCTTAACTCTGAAGACAGGAAACAGAGAAGGAGTAAAAAGAAATACAAAAGATTCCGAAATCCTTACCTCTAACTGTCCGTAGGCGTCTAACCCATATGAATAATGAAGCGACTTTTAGCTCTCGAGTCAAGAGATTTCAGAGACCAGGAGAGGGGGGCGTATAAAGGAAGAGCTTAAAGTCAGAGGTTGTAGGACCCCGGCGGGGGGAGGAGGGTTAGACGGGGATGGGGTTCAGTAGGCCAAGGGAGATTTTCTTGGTTCTAATCCCAACGTAATGAACCTGAAAATCCTGGAGCTAGGGGTTGGGGTAGGCAACCAAGCGAACAGAAATACTGGTTTCATGCCACATACAGACCAGGCAAATCGAAAAGTCACGATAAACATGGCTACTGAATTTATCTCCAGTTCGTACAGCGAAATTCTGGAAATATGACGAATTAGCTAAATACTCTTCCTTAGTACTTAGTGGTCGTTAATTCAGTTGTCTGTATTCACACTCAAATTGAGAAGTATTTGTGACAGAAGGATGTAAAATAACTCGAAGCTGGAAGGTTTTCAGTGATAGTGCCTCAATCAGACAAGAAATTTCCTGTTTTCTTATGGAAGTCGAAGGCTTACTGTCTATTGTGATAATCCCCTGCCAAAGTTTCGGAAGAAAATTTGTAACCACCTACAAGATTACATGGAATAATATTATATATATCATACAAACAAGGCAATGGCGCATTTGACAAATTAAATAAACAATACAACGGTTAGATGATTACACACGCGTGTCGAAACCTGTAATCACACGGCATAACTCACAATAAAGTGTTGCGTAGACGGTAAAGAATATTAATATTCTTTAGTAAACTCCCGTCTACTACATATATTTTATTTCTGCAAGACCTATGTTAATGTTTTCCTCATATTTATGCGTAAGTCTCCAAACAGTCTTTTACTTTAGGATTCTTACGTAATTTTCATTACTTACGCCGCGTGTTTCATTACGTCCATATTGATGGACGACCTATCGAGCCATCTTTCGGAGTCAAGTAGTACTACTTCCACGCTGAGGCTAGTTCATGCAAGGGTTACGTAGACCTGTTTCAAACATTTTATTTTCGGAGGCATATTCTATTCACGACAGAACACAAATTCTTGTTGTGTAAAAGTATGGTGAGAGAAACGATATTCCCTAGAAATAATCTGTGGATATCATTACATATATTAGTAATAGCATTTCCTTTCCTGTTTCAAGAAAATCTTTTGATTAGAAGTTTTCATACTGAGTTTTATATAGTGATTAGTCCATAGTGTTTATATTTGTAACTAGCAAAGTGTTTGTCCTTCTGACAGGGTTCTCTTAAAATGAACTCTACTAACAAAATAATTTTACCTGTATTTATTTATTGTGACACTCTTATAAGAATTCGCGTAATCAATCAGTGTCAAAAGTTTTTCTCCACTTGCCCCCGTGGTGCTACGTAGCGATTGGATTATGAACTAACAATTGTCCTGCAACAGCGGTGGATATAGGTTTATATCGGTTTTGCATTGCAGTCTCCGACTAATTCGGCCAGAGAGAGAGAAACGGAGAATACTGAATTATGTTATGAAGAGTAACATTGCGTTTCGCCTTCATCACTATTTTGCGGGTAGAAGAAAAACAGCCTCATATACAATTGAAACCAAAAACATTGCCCACATATGAATTGGGAAATCGAGCTTCAAAGTATTGCCGCTGGGTAGTGATGTTTGTAGTGTGGAGAGGATATTCTTCGTTATCTGCAACCCCCTTTCACCTCTCTGAAGACTATGTACGAAATTTCCGAACTGGTAATAAGCATAGGTATTCAATACTCTTGTTTTTAGAAGCCTGTTTAACGTTAAAATATGCTAGGATAACTTATTAAAATAAGACATAACATATTCTGCCTTCTGTATCATTCGACAAGTCATACCTTGTTACGTAACGTACTATTTGGAAAAACATTGTCACACAACGAATGCAGAATGTCCCAAAAATATTTACACACACGTTCATTAAATTAAATAAAGACATTTTAATTAACTACCGTTACATATATGAGAATTGGCAGTTATTGAATTAGCGAATCTAGTGAAGGTGTTTAAAATTACCACCATTAGCTTCATGGCACAGTTGACAGCAGTGAGCCATCAAAGTTCCCGTTGTGTATACATATTTTTGGGATAATCTGTGTAAGAAACTGGCCGTGTTCACTGATTTGTGTCAACTTGGTTTAGGAGTCAGAAGTAAAAAAGAAATCTACCCTGAATAAAGTTATTCCGTGTCGTTTTTGACATCCCTCTACAACCGTTTATCGAGTCCCTTTTAAACTTAAATTAAGTATGCCTACCATCCTAAATTTGTCAAACGCCTTTTCCAGAAGACGCATGCTAATACCCCAACAAGGTTAGATAAAAGCAATAGATAAGCCTAAGCAGACAATACCATTCTAACCAGGGAGTCGGCGTTGCTTGTCTGATCACAGTGCAAATGTAATCCAGGAGTATGGATGGGGGATAGACCATCGGTGAATTTTTTTTTCTGCAATTGGGTCAGAAATTAGTGGGTAAATCAGCAATAATCGGGTAGGACACAAGAGGGGTATTGAACTTGGGAAATATCTACGGGCTGCAGCGGTCTGATAAAACGGATTTATTTATATAGATGTTGTTGCATAAGCCCTACCCCCCCGTAGTCAACTAATCCTCAGAACTGGTGGATTATCCCCTCTCTACCGGCCGCCCGTCACCCTAATGTTGTCTGCCCTCGATACAACTATAGGCACTGGCAACACACGATACTACAACTACAGTGACAGGCAACCAACCTGTTCGAATATACGTATACAAAACAAAATAATAAAGACTATATTTCAACTGAGAGGGTTATACTGAATCGAATGAGAACGGAAAATAATCGTGAATAGTGACTGGCAAGACATTGGAAGAAGAGGACTTAGCTTATTTACAAAAGACAACGTACTGTCTGCTAGAGAAATTACTAAAAGACCGGAAAGGCTGTAGAGTTAAATATACTGGAAAACGTCGATCTCGTCCTAGCGCCGCATAGCAGCACTTTTGCGAACTTCAAACATGACTGGTACAATGCACAGAACACTAAAAAATGACAACGCTACAAAGAACAATAAAATTCGAACATCAGACTTACACAAGCACAGAAATATAAAAAGTAAACAAGTAGGACATAACCTGATACATGTTGGATGGATGGATTTCTTCGTCTATTCATTTAAAAACGCACGACGTTCAGAAGCAAGATCTATTTCCGCCATCAGAAGAAACCATAGCACGTCCACTGTAGAACGATTATCAGTTTTAGGATCTGATATTTTTCTTTCGGAGAATGTTCACTGCGCATGCTCAGAACCTTACTCCTGGAACCCCTCACCACAGTCACCCTAAGCTCGCATGTCTTCTTTTCTGCCGTTGACAGTAGCTGCAGGCAGTTAATTTCGGCTGGAATCAAACTAGGTGTAGTTGCAGCGTACGAGTTCCTTTTAGACAGTCAGGGTTCGAGCCCACAACGTGTGTAGCAAGTGGAGTCAGCGGTCGGATTACGGATCGTGTGTAGAGCATTGCTATGGGCCCGCTGTTTTAAAATTTGTCTTTCACAGAAAGAAAAATCTGCCCCGATTACGAAAGCTGAGCCCGGCTGAAGTATCAACCAATGCCTTCCCGAATACAACTGTCAAAAACTACCTGGTGGAGAGCAAAGCATAGAATGGAAACAAAAGCGAAGACTTAGGACATGCTGAGGTCGACAGTTCGAATTCTGGTCGGATAATAAATATTTTATCGCAAAATCCTGTCTCTGTCTATGATTCACTGATGCTCTGTCCGAAGGATCTTTTTGAATTTAATAAAAATTCGGTATTTTATAATTAATTCCAAAGTATGGAAATCCAAAAAGAACATGAAGGCCAAAAGGGTGGAAGGAGAAAAGCAAAAGTTAAGTGAGAAAAGGTAAGAAGGAAAAGACGAGTAGGAAAGGATGTGAGACAAAGTTGAGAAGGAGAAGAAAGGGACAAAAATAAGTTGACGAAAATGAGGTAGAGGCATATCGATGAAAGACGTGACCTTGAATATGGAAAAGTTGAAAATGCCTTCTGATGCTGAAGCAGAGAGCTGGTAAAACGTATAAAATCACGACAAAACTACACAAAAGTTCACTACTCAATTTATCTTAGAGTTACAAGACTCCGCTGAAATCAGAACGCTGTTTACTCACCACTGTTTGATTTCGAGAGTTCGTAGCTTTCTTTGGGGGAGGGGTGTAGAGCTGCCTCTTGCTGGGGAGGCGTTGGCGGCGGCGTCCTGACGGGTGGGGGCGGCGGTTCTGGTGCCCGATGTGCTTGAGGGGGTGGCGGGGTTGAAGCAGGTGGTGTCCTGCAACCCCTGTTTGTGAGTGCCATGGCTTGAGTCTGAAAAGCAGCGACAGGTGCCTTCATCAGGTATCACGTTGTTCTTACTTTTTAACAAAGACTTATAAACTGTAATTATTATGAGTTAAATTATTATTATTATTATATTTAACGACGAGTGAAAAATAGGCCCGTGTAAAGCGGAGTGATCGTGGGGTATTTCAACCACTTCTTTGCCATAAACGTGATTTCTCGTCTAGGATCATCATCGAGTTATATTTTTAATAATTGCGATATTTAATAATTCCACTGAAAGAAATACTACATATTATCCTTATTTTTCGTAGTAATCGTAGTTATTTGTGACTTTTTTAGTGAAAGCCACGTAGGAATTATCTCGAATTCGAAACAATCTGATGTCGTCCTTAACACGAGAATCAGATAAACCAATCTGGGGTTGAGATTTAGGTCCCGGATATTCTGAATATGAAGATATCTTAACCCCTAGACCACAACGTTTTACATATACGAGTTAGAAGTTAAAAATATTTAAAACTTCACTGAAAAGTGTGCCCGTAATTCCTGATGTCACAATTCTGTCTCTATATTAATATTCTTGATACCAGAATACTGAAACTGAATTAAAAGTACAGTCGCAGTAAGTTTTACTGAGCTTAAAATCCGAGACAATTAAAGCTGATATCGGTAAAATGTCAGCCCCACTTGCGGGATGCCAGTTTGGAATCTAACCAGGCAATAATCTAGATAATATAGATTCTTTCGAGGTTCCTACAGTTTAGACAACCACTGATCCAGAATAAGATATGATTATAATATAGAATTTATGACACATTCCTGTCTTAATTCAAGGATCCGATCTGATCCTTCAATGAGATACTGGGGAAAATCATGTAATCCTCGACAATTGTTGTTCTGGGTTGTAACATACGTATCTAAATACATTATCTACCTACGAGTCTACACGATGTCATATGAAAACCTCATTTGGGATAACTTATGCTGGGCTGTAGCTCCGAAATGCAAAGGACTGTTAATCAGCGGCCAACACACACCACCAGCAAGACATTATAGTAGGGAATGTGCAGAATTAGTTGAATCCGACAACAATAACGGACACCTAACACGAAGAGGTGCATGTGTTCTTGAGCGCGGAAGTGTGTGATTGGGAAATCCCGAGTCACGAATCATGAGCCGGGGAATCCCCTGCCAGCCGGGCGACCCTGTGGAGAATCCTCCATGTAAACGTTATCACATAGCCAGATATACGGTACGCACTCAGACCACGCTAAGTTACTCTGACGTCATTCTAGGAAACACGCTCGAATTGTTATGGTTGTTATGGTACGTATACATTATCTAACTAGTCTTGTCAGCTAACTTCATGTTTCAGGACCATTCTTTAAACATTTATAGTTACTAAGCTGATCACAATATTTCATACTTTTATTAAAAGCGAATATTTATGAACAGATCCACAGATCCTGTCATTGAATCCAGACAGAAATAAATTCAGTTGACATCTCCATATTTTGTTTCTCCAAACTTATTGTTAATATTATCTTTCCAGTGGAATCGAAAAGGCATGTAGTACTCACGAGATATGACAAATGTATGCAATACTTCGGTCGATAAATCAAAGATAAGAGACGTTATTCTATTTAGCAGCTAACGTTAAGTTTAATCTTAACGAACTATGGTGTTAGGGTATGGACTGGATTAAAAATGGCTCAGGATAGACTGCCATGTCAATCTTCAGTGAACTTAGTAGTATACACTTTGGTTCCAGCACAGGTGAACAATTTATTTACTAGCAGATCAACTATCAGCTTCTCAAGAAGGAAGTATTTGTTGTCGTCCCATCTACTGCTATGTGTCCCAAATACTTTTATCATTTGACGTTTACCGGCCAAAATGCTATAAGCGTCTTTCATTCCGGGATTAGTATCATGTCTAAATTCCTGCATTCCACGCCACGCAGAATGATACATATGAGCAATACTTAACTAAAATAGGCCTTCTTTAAACAGTAATCATATAACCCATCATGCATTATGTTATAACTCGCAGGGTGTGTAGCTCAAAATCCCGTCGAATAACACAGCACTGTTGTCCGGCGTGAGAGACAGGGCTTGTATAACCATCAAAGCCCCCAAATTCCCCCTCCCCCCCCGGCCCAAAGCACCTGATCGATAACTCGAAACTCTCTAAATGACGTTTTCCGAGAGGGGATTTCAATAATTGCGATAATCCATCGTTAACTCGGTTGAGGTTACATAATCTTGTTATACCACTTCACCCCATTCTGCCTGTGTCCATACGGCCAAGATAATCGTAATTATCTGAATAATTGCTGTAGGATGTGCACATACACACATACGTACATATAGTAGTTGCTGGCAGTGATATTGCATAAAATAGATTATCGATAATTTCACTCACGTATCGATTAAGTTCATTATAGGTTCGAGCAGGTGGTGCCAAAATCGATTATAACCTATCACACTACTAATCCTCCTCATTTCGAAAGCGATGCCTCATACATAAACTTTGCGTTTGATGTAATATTACTGTCAACTTTTGTCCTGGTGAATTATCCGTACAAAGCAAATACTGTGATGCCCATTGATAAACATGTTTGTGTAAGTACCTATGTACTGAATTTGTGGAACAGTTTCAAATAAAAGTAAATATCCAGCTGCTTTATTTAATTTGTGTTCATCATTAAACGACTTGAAAATATATTATATGTCTCTTGATATTTGTCGTTAAACATATACAAATTTTATGAATGATAATTCTCTAATAATATACAGTACGCGACTGTAATCTTGAGACTTACAAGGAATGCAGGAAGTCCGAAGCGTTAAAGGCTGGCACTATCTATCCTCCTTCCTCCTTTACCCCACTTCCTCACCCCGCAAGTCTCAAGATTACAGTCGCGAACTATAGTAATGTTTGATTCATTATAAGACCATTTTGTTAGACATCATCCATTGCCTGAAGTATATTTGGTACAAGACGTTCGATCTCGGTTGTCGTAGATAATAAAATTATTTTATTTTAACGCGTAACTCAAGAACTACACCAGCCATTTAGAGAGTCAGCACAAGAAGATAAAATAAACACTAAAGCATCAAAATAACAATAAGAATAACAAAATTGTATCATGACAATTACCTGAAGAATGGAGTAAAGTCAACTTTCGAAACGTCATTCATACCGTATAAATCTTAAACAATGGGCCACTACCCAACATAATGTCCCTATAATGTGTCACTGACAATTGACATTCATATATAAGTAAGCCAAAATGTGGTAGTTTTAACGTGTGACGCAATGGAGATGCAGATCTGACGTAACTGTCCGATCAAATTGACGTTCATGAAGGAATCTGAATGAGTCATTGACTCGAACGGACGCTAATCCACGAATATCTGTTTAAATCTGGGTCAAGTGATGTCAAACGCGTCAGAATGTGTAAAGCAGAAACACCAATTGCGTCCCCTATGCAGCATGTGCACACTTGTGTGTGTGTCTGCTTTCCTTTCTTGCTTCTGAATCTCATTTGTTTCTCGTATCCCTGGTCGATTCCTTCAATTCTTCATTTCTTTTCAAGTTCTCTTCCTCTCATTCACCTTTGTTCTTCATTTCTGTCCATCTTACTTCTTTCATGTTCTTCTCTGTTTCTTTTGTTTCTTCCTTATCGTATTTCCCTTCATTTCCTTCTCACTTTTTGTCTCTTTGTTTCTGTTCGTTCAGTTTATATGATCGTTGCAGTACCCAGGGCCCAACCATGCATGAACACGGTTACTTTCTGAACGGCCTGTATATATGCTTGAGCTAAACCGGAACTCCGGGAATTTGCGAGATTTCCGGTATTCTTGCATTGTGGTTGTGCGTGGGAGACCTGGTTGATCCAGACTGTTTCTACTGCGCAGCGGATGATCACAGCATTCAATCTAGTTCACGCATTATGGTAACAATTTTTACAGCAAATCCGTCCACACCAACAGATTTGGTAAGATCATAAACACGTGTCTGTGTCAACGACGTGTTTCGATGAAACTAATATTGTGGGTTTGCACTAAAACTTATCAAGAAAATTCCACTCTTACTTTGTATTTAATTTACATAAAGATAAAATATAATGTTTTTAATTTTTACACAAAACGTCCTTGCGAAAACCTGTTCACATAACATGACACAGGAAATAGACGTAAATTTTTTGATAATTTCTGACTATGTGCATTGTAATATATATATGTATTCATCGCCCTGATGACGGAGGCAGTATGACCTCTGAAACGTTGGTTAACATCGACCAGACTACACAGCGCAACAACCTAGAAGACAGAAATCTTCATACTAAGAATCACCCTGATGACGGAGGCAGGATGACCTCTGAAACGTTGGTTAACATCGACCAGACTACACAGCGCAACAACCTAGAAGACAGAAATCTTCATACTAAGAATCACCCTGATGACGGAGGCAGGATGACCTCTGAAACGTTGGTTAACATCGACCAGACTACACAGCGCAACAACCTAGAAGACAGAAATCTTCATACTAAGAATCACCCTGATGACGGAGGCAGGATGACCTCTGAAACGTTGGTTAACATCGACCAGACTACACAGCGCAACAACCCAGAAGACGGAAATCTTTATACTCACCGCTGTGAAAACCTCAAATTTTACATATGTAAACTACCTTTCTCTGGGGCCAGTCAACTGCTGGGTCAGAGATGAAGCAACTAACTTTCCACAGTCCAATTCTTGATCAGGGTTAACGAACACGTGTGTCACAGACAGATGAGTATGAGGGAACAGTGGATGATTAGTAGCGGGAATTCGGAGAAGTACTGCTCCATTACTATTCAGTTCACCACGTATCTCACTCTTAGTCACCAGGTACCGAACCCAGGTCTCCGTTGTAAGAATTAAACTTACAGCCGTCTACTGCCTCAATAGATTTGTGTCTGTAATAAATTAATATCAAGGCCAATGAGGTAAGCAGATTCGCAAAGACGGATCGTA